ACGCCGTGCCAACAGCCGTGGCAGCCCCCCCTGCCCCCACTGCCCCTGTGGCAGGAGGCGCTGCCCGGCCCCAGCCACGGGGAGACAGTGAGGTCGTGCAGGCTGGTCTGGAGCGGAGGCAAGGACATTTGTCTAACCAGGACGAGGTTGGGCAGACTAGGGATGCTCTATGCTTCGGGGCACCCCCAAACCCCTGGGGAGGTCAGAGCCTGAAAGGGTAGCCAGGGTACAGTTTCCAATGCAAAACCTAGGGGTGGGGTGGTCTGGAAGGGACGATACCTTTGTCAGTCTCCCAGATGCCACATCTGGCCCTGGGGTGGGGTCCCTGTGGCTTGTGAATTACACACAGAATGTGGCCCCCCAGGTAGAATTCTGAGGGTCAGAGCGTTGAGTTTCGGAACAGCTGCTTCTCGGTAGTGAAGGGGGCCACACGACCTTCTCCAGACCTGGCTGCTCCCTCCAGGTACAGCCCTTCCCTGTCCTTCCTGCCTCCAACCTTTGCCAGTCTCTGGGTTCCCTCAGAGTATCCCGTGCTACCAGAAGGCGTCCAGGAGGTCTTAGTGCACTGCACACCTACTGTGCACATAGGCTTTGCCAAATGCTCTCCAGAGGAACAGGAGTGTCCAGGCATCACGACAGAGAGGCTCATACTCATGGTAAAGCAGGGCCTCGCTGTCTCTAAGGACCGAGGTGGGTACGGTGCTCATCCTCCCGGTCCTGGAGCATCTGCAGTGCCCTGGGCTCTGCTCTAAGCATGAGCTTCACCTCTGTTATTCCTCAGGCAAATACGAGATCTGCAGTTTTATTTATGTGTGAATCGTTTGTAGATGAGGAACCCGAGGTTCTGAGAAGTTAAATAACTTGCCCGAGAGCAGAGGCTGGCAGTGAGACCAGGGCTGGGCCTCCAACTCAGTGACTTGACCCACAGAATAGGTGCTGGAGCCAGTGCCCTGCTCTCAGAGGGTGGGGTGGAGATCGGGCAGGTGGGCAGCCAGGCGGGTGTGGAGGGGCAGGGGGCATTAGGAGGAGGGAACCTGTGAGCTACTGCACATCACAATCCCTGCTTGGAGCCTGCCGCCAGGTGGGCTATGGGTTCAATAAATGTTTACTGAATGAATGAATGAGCCCCATGTGCAGAGGGGCACCATTGTGCAGTCATTCAATCGGCCCACACCACAGACTTGCTGCATGCCAAGTCCCATGTGGCTTGCATGTACACGTACATACAACCTTCCCAGGAGGGCTGGTCTGCTGCAGCTGGGGCTAGGCAAAGCACAAAGTGAGGGAGACAGGCTGGCCTCGTGTTGCCCGGCTAAGCCTGTATGGGGAGTCAGATCCCACAGGATCAACCGCAGTTCCCATCCTGCCCCCCCCCCCGCTTGAAAAACCACCAGGCCCATGTGCGTGCTTGTCCAAACGCCCAACAGGATGGAGAGACGGAGGGGAAAGGATTGCAGAGGAACCACGCCCCGTCGGGGAGCACATGCACCACGCCTCTCTGGAGCACATGCACCCTCTGGCAATTAAAATAATAATAAAATAAAAAGCAAATGTGTGAGAAGCTAGAGGTGGCATTGGGTCCAGCCTGCAATACCTGGAAAGAAGCCGGAAGCAGGAGACCGGCTCAGCCCCGGGACATGTCCTGTGGGTCCTCGCGCAGAGGGCAGGCGTGCATCATGGCAGAGAGGGAGGCGGCACCACTGTCTCGTGTTGTAGGTGAGAGGGGAAGGCGGCATAGGTACAGGGGTGTCTGCTGGGACAGGAGCAGAAAGGACGGCAAGGACCCCAGCTCCATCCTCTGCCTTACAGACAACAAGAAGGGGACAGCCGGGCTCGCCCTCCCTCCCTCCCTACCCCTCCTCAGTCCCCTTTCTCTGACCACCCCGCTGCCCAGCCACCATTCCAGAGCTGGGACTGAAGTAAGAAAACTGACATTTAATGACAGCCTCCTCCAGGCCAGGCACCAGGCCACAACTTTAGACTCACACGGAATGACCGATGTGGCAGCCTACAGCCCGGAATAGGTTGCTCAGTATTTATTGAGCAAACAAATTGACCATAATCTCCTTACAGGTCAAGCGAAGAAACTGATGAAAAAGTAAGACATTTGTTCAGAGTTAGAGTCAGAAATCGGCAGAGCTGGGATCTGTTTACACCAATCAGAACAGCTCTGGGGTCTGGCATCCTCTCCCCCCTCCCCGCACCCTCCGGCCAAGGTTGGCACTTACCTGGTACTAGGTGGGGGCTGGAGTGTCATGGGAAGGCTTCTGGGAGGGGGCAGAATTCAAAATGAACCTGCCTTTGGAATAGACTGGAACAGGGTCTCCGCAAGTGGGAATGAAGCGATTTGGGGCTGGGGTGGCCACGGGCAGTGGACAGTAGAAGCAAGTCTTGTTACAGTAGAGGGACGCATCAGCGTCACATGGGAAGATGAGGTCACCTTTGGCAAAGGATTTTAGAGTCCCCCATCAGAGCCAGCCCATCCTCCTGTCGAGGTAAGGAGCTGGGTTTCCTGGGGGAAGAGATTTAAGAGCGCTCACTGTCATGGCAGACTAATGGCAGCACTATGGCAGCTGGTCAGTGCCAGACAGGCTAGAGCCCTGAGGACAGTGCAGTACCCGGGGTGGCCAGCGCCTCCCGGCGGTGGACTCCCGATGCCTGCCTTCTCCCCACGTGCCAGGGGCTGGGACGCTGGGGGCGCACCACGCCGTCCCCC